TTTGAATCTTCCTCTTGATACTTTGTGTGAGGCATTCTGGACCTCACCCTCCATCCTATTCTCCTGTCTCAATTCTCTTAGAGTAGTTGTCACAGAATCTTTGGGAGAACTGAAGGATGATGATCCATCTTCTTATAACTACTTCATGCTATTGGGGACCATGGTGGCGGCGCATGCCTGTAGTCTCAGCACTTGGGAGGCAGAGGCAGGCAGATCTCTGTGATTTCAAGGCAAGCCTGGTCTACGTAGTGAGTTCCAGGCCTGCTGAAGCTACAGGGAGACCCTGTCTCAAAAGAAAAAAAAGGACCATAAATCTTCAAATCTTCTATCAATCTTCAATCTGCTGGAGGGGAAGGTCTGATCCTCTGTGGTAGGAACTAACTGGAATTGCTGTATCACTACGAGTTTAGTATGTTACTGCTGTATCTAGAAGAGACAAAAACATCAATTCTGTTTCAACATTAACAAGGTCCCCCCTTGGACTGCTATTAGTGTGTTTATGGCTATCATGTCTTATAATACAGCTACACATATGAGTTTAGAACAGAAATCCCTCAGGCTGTGAAACAGAAATAAAAGTAAAACCATACTGATGGTTATATATTGAGAATATGTCAAAACACAAAAACTAATTCTAAGAAAGAATTCACTGGTAGAATAGATTAAAACAGAAATATGAGGCTGCAATCACAGAGTATGTATTATACCAACAGCCAAAAGTAAAAACCACAAGGAAGATCAAAACATAAAGTAAGGATGTAGCTACTGATCAATTTATAAAGGACTTGTCTTTACATTTATGAAGTTAAGACATTCTTTTGTTTGACAGTAATATTTAAGCCTTTGAACAGTTCATGAGTGTAAGCAGCCTTGTCTTCAAGATGTTCTAGAGGCTGTGAAGACTAATCTGGAAAAGTTTTTACTCTAGAGAATGACCTTTGAGTTCTTTCACCCTGAGTGGGGTAGACATCTATCCATTTGGAAAGAGAAACCTCTATCCATCCTGAGAAGGGGTCATCGAACATCAAAAGATATGTGTATCCTTGACAGGGGAGCATTTGAGTGAAATGGAATTGTTAATCTTTTTCCAAGAATGTGTCTGTACTTTATACTACATTAAAGAAAAGTAGTGGCCTAGTTCTACTTCCAGGGCAATTACTGAGACAGAGAAGACAGGCTTGTACAATTTTTTAAAATTATAGATTTTATAATCCTTTGTTCCAAAAGCTAAAGGTACATGGAACAGTTACTGTCAGTATTCCAGGGTAGCATGAGTCATAAGTCCCTTAATAATTCTGTATTTGTTTGGGGAAATAGAATCTTATATTCCCCTGAGACTAACAGTCATTTTCAGTCAGTTTATATCCTCGCTATGTAGTCCATCCCTTTCCTGTATAAGATGCACTTATGCTTTATTTGGGGATAGAGGTATCAAAGCTATCTTATATTTCCTCCATCAGCATTGCTATAGCTTATATAAGTGCCCTGAGTTATCCACATAACTTAGGGGCACTTCTCACTATTATAGAGCAGTGAGAAAAATAAGGTATGGGTTTTGGACTGTCCCCTAACTTTTAGGTGAGGACTTCCAATGTTATGCCTTGTTCTTAAGCCATATATAGGGCTGTTACCAAGGCACAACTGGCAACAATAACTCCCTTAGCCTTGGGGCATTTTCATCAACATGTCTGCTATAGAAGTTTATTTCATTAGGGATCCTGGCTTAACAAATAAAGTATTGAATGAAGCCCCATTATTGGAAAGAAAATTAACATTTTACCCATCACATCAAGTTACCCAGGGACCTCATTGGTTCTTTGCACTCATTGGACTGGGACTTTCGCTAGAACACCTCAGAGAGCTTTAGTCTTCAGGGGCATCCATCACTGTATCTGAAGCTCCAACCTCCCTGCAGAGGGTGGGGTATCCTCCTTTGCAGTGGTTTCCCTCCTTGCAGAGGGGGAAAATCCATGTTTTCCTAGAACCCGGAGTACAGTTCTTTTCTAGTGCTTTAGTTTCCCATAGCTACAGCAAGCATGGCCCTTTTAGAATCTTCTGCCTGGGGTTTCTCTGAGGGAGGAGGAAGTTTTATTTGCCTGGTAAAATGTATTATTTCCCAGAAAACAGGCTAATAATTTGGCTTATTCTTTGCCTATAATAACTTCCCCTGGGCATTTTGGACTGTCTCTATTTCACCTCTGTTGCTGAAAACCTCAAAGCCAAATTTAAAAGTTAATTTCCAGTGTCTGTCTCCTTTTGCAGCCTCTGTCTAATGTGGGGAGCACAGTGACTGATGAAGTAAATCTAACACTAGGAATTGTTTAATAACCATTAATTAGAGTAAAGCTAATCATGTGCATACCACCTTTGAGTTTTGTATTCCTTCAGCCCTTCTGTGATTTGTATAGACCTTCTGCAGCTTAAGTTTCCCAGGTTGGTTCTCACCTCTTTGTAGTTCCATTTTGGAACAATCCTTTACTGAGGAGAGATCTACTACCTAAAATCCTTTCTCATCTAAAAACATTTCCTTTCCATCTTTTACCTTCTTTACCAAAGATATAGTTCATATATATATCTATATATATATGTATATATATATAAAACTTTTATATATTTTTCTTGATGGTTCCTTTTTGTCTTGTCTTTAGAAAACATTTTTTTCTTAATAAAAATATCTATATTTCAATGAGAACACAGAAAGCTGCATCTGGAATGCAGACAAAATGTATTAACAGTCCTGGAGATATTTCTATTTTAACCAAAGGCAGGAAAAAATATGACATCTCTGCCTGCATTTGTGTTTGTCTCCTTTCTTTTGGGTTACTTGCTTACTGCACAGTGTGATAAAAAGCACAGAATGAGAAAGCACAGGGAAGAGTCATTGGGTTTTGTTTGTTTTATTTTGTTTTGTCTTTGTTTTTGCTGTTGTTGTTTTGAGAGGGTCTCCTTAGTCACAGCCCTTCTGGAAGTCACTATGTATACCCTGGTGACCTCAAGCTCACAGAGATCCACCTGCCTCCCAAGGGCTGAGATTAAAGGTGTGTGCTACCATACCCTGCAAAGAGTCATTGTTTTAAACATACTGTAAAAGAGAACTGAATCTAAATTATATTTAAACACATTAGGATCAGTTCTCTGTATGATGTCTTCCGTAATTTTCCAATCATGTGCAGCAGGCAGAAATGATTTTGTCTTAAAACTACCATTTTTTAAAATTCAAAATCACCCAAGATAAGGACTTCGAAAAATCTGTTTTTTAATAAATTCAAGCAGGTTCATGGAGGAGAGCATGGGCAGATAAGTAATAGCTCCTATATATTAATGCCATGATTGTAAGTTTAAAAATTACCCTTAGGGGGTCCAGAGAGATGCTCAGCAGTTAAGAGCACTGGCTGATCTTGCAGAGGACATGGGTTCAGTTCCCAGCACCCACATGGTGGATAACTGCCATCTGTAACTCCAGTTCCAAGGACTGATGCCTTCTTCTGCTTTCCATGGGCACTGCACACTTAAGATACACATATCCATGCAGGCAAAACATTCATACATATAAAATAATTATTTTTAAGTCATCATAGTGCCTACAGAATGACTCAGAAGATAGGGGTGCTTGCCACCAAGACCAGAAAATTGAGTTCAGTCCCTGGGATCCACATGGTAGATGGAAAGCACTAGTTAGTGCCCTAATGACCCTTAATGATCCACCCATGTTCACAAATTGAAGCAGTTCCTATCAGTCACCTCTGAAGAGCTGGAAGTTTAAGAGATTAAAAACACAAATCTTACCTGACTGGCTGGTTCACCAACTGACGTCATAGGTCAATATCAGGTTTGGAGGACACGTCCACAGGGATTCCAGGTCCTTGCACTTACAAATGAAGGATTAAGCAAGGACACACAGTTGCAGCAAAAGTAAAGCCAGTTTACTAAGAGAGAGTATTCTTCCAAGAGGAGAGAAGTAAGTGGGAAGAGGGAGAAAGTCCATCAGCTCTGTGGGCTGTGCGACAGAGTTGAGACTTTAACCTATGCATGCACTCTCTGTTACATATTCTATGTACAACTTCATGTGTCCTATGGCTAATTAGCATCTTGTCTCCACTCAGTGATGTGTATTTTAGTATTATGCTGACTCATAGGCTATTCTTGAATACTGGAGTGCCTCAGCACCTGCTTCAGTGGCCAGTTTTAAAAGTTGGCTTTGGGGCTGGAGAGATGGCTCAGCAGTTAAGAACACTGAGTGTTTTTGCAGAAGACCTGGGTTCGAGTCCCAGCACCCACACAGCAGCTAACAACTGTCTGTAACTCCAGTTCCAGGGGATCCAACAGCCTCTTCTGTCCTCGGTGGGCATTGCACGAGACAGATGCACTTACCTACATGCATGCAATACACACATACACATAAAATAAAAATAATAATTTTTTTAAGTTGGCTTTGATTGGAGAGTTCCTGTCTCTTTGTCAGCTTGTGTTTTTATTTTTTTAAACATTTTATTTATTATTATTTTTTGACAGAGCATAGGATAAGGATTTATTTACAAAAGAGTGGGCGCCCCACATTTACAGCTGCACTGTAAAGTCCACACTCAAATACAGATTCTGTGACCTCCCAACAACCACACAAAATGGTGAGAGAGGTGCCTCTTGGTGTTCTCAGATTATGTATTCTTTGTGCCTCCACCCACATGCAGCTAAGATCTACTGATTGGTTGGGAGGGGCAACTGACTCTCCCCCCCCCGCCCCCGGCTCCTCGATGAGTATTGGAATGAGGTGTGACTATAGCTTGCTGGCATAGTGGTCAGAGGACATTTCCAGTTAACACTCCATCCCTTCCTCTGCCTCTTACATTCTTTCTTCCAACCTCTTCCACAAAAGTCCCTGAGCCTTGGAGGGGGTGGTAGATGTGGGATGATCGTCCTCCCATTGTGGCAAGGCACTGAACTTTCAGGTCTCTGCATCATGTTTTCCATGGGCTGTTGGCCAGTTTCAGTGGGATTCCAACTACTATAAAAACACACACAGCAAGAAGCAAGGACATCTAAATAGTGACTGCTATAATAACTTAACCTATGGGTAAACTTGTGTTTTTCATAAGCTAATTTGGTAAGGTTTGTGGAAGGCCTTTCAGACCTTGCTCTTGGCCCTATTCTCCTACCTACATGGGAAGCATTGATTTTGGACTTAGACACTTAAGTACAGTAACCTCAATGGAGTTTTTCTTTACATTGGAGTCTTTAATAATTTACTATCATGAATATCTGACACAATATTATGACAAACTATGTACAAAGTATGAGATTGTGAAACTGAGGTCTATTGATAGAAATAATTGGGCTGGGGGAGGTCATGCTGCACATCAGAATTTGCTTTCTCCTATGAACAACAATTCAAAACTTGACTACCTAAGTCACAAAAAGCACAATTATAATGACAAATACACAAATACTAACAATCTATTTCCTCTAAGTTGATTTTAAAATTAAGGCAAGCTGATCATCAACTCATCTGGGCTCTACACTTTCTCCCCACATAAAATTTACATGGAAAGCTAAAGATGTTAGAATGCTGATGAGCCAGAATTCCTCATAGTCCATGTCATCAACTATGCCAACCAGTTCTAACATACCATCCAGGTCCATTCTAGAGATGGCAAGACTTCTGTCTCCAAGCAGTCGTGGTGGCATAGACATCCTTACTTTCTGGAAATCCTAAAGGTCACCATTCTGCCTCATCAGTTATGCTGAAATGATCATTTTTATAAAACTAGGGAATGATGCCTTATCAAATCAGCCTTCCTGTTTCCGGGCCCTGGTTCTTCATCTATTCACTAAGGTGACTTCTGTTCCCATCTGCCCTCACCATTATCAATTGATCAGATCTTGAACTAGCTCCTAATTGTACAATTCTTCTGAGTTCTTAACAGAAACTCACAGTAGCCTTTTAGGTTGACTGCAACAGGAATGTAAATTAATGAGACTATTATTTCCTAAGTTGAACTGGAATCCTTTGCAGGTAGGTATTCTTCATCTTAATGCAGGTAGCAAATCAGCAAATGATGATTACTTCTTGAAGAATAAATGTAATATTGGATCTTTGATTTCCAGTGCTGTGCAGTAGATAATTTATAAAGAACAGAAATTAATTACAATTCTGGAGACTGGCAAGTCCAAATCAAGTTTTCGTCATCTGGCAGGAATGTTTTTGGTACATGGTCCCATGGTAGAAGATGGAAGTCAAGAGAGGGCCAAGCCACTCTTGCAATAACTAACCTACTCCCACAATGTCAGCAAAGTTCCCATGACCTAACCATCTCTTATTGGGGCCTACTTCCCAATACTATTGCATTGGCAATAATGTTTGTAATACACGAGCCTTGGGGACACATTCAAACCAGAGTATGGGGAGAAATGGCTGTCTTCACAATGGTGGAGTTGTCAAGTCTAACAAGCCATTGCCTTGGGATGGCAGTGAGAAAGGTGAGTTGATATCAGTCCAGTAAATCCTCAGGCAAATGGAGTGACTCAAGTAGAAAATTTCTTTTGAGTAAATCAAGTATAGGACTTCTTTTGCTAATTGACTTTTCTGAAAGAGAGTAGTACCAAGAAAATTGATAAGCATCTATTGTTCAAATCAAAATAAGCATTCTTACCTTAAACACTGAATGATGTTAGTGGTTTTGTAGGAAAAGTGGGGATAAGGAGGGTCAAGCTACCACTTATATCTATAAAAAGATCCATGAGATTGTTATAAAATGAGACATGACAGCCTGCATTATGCCAGCCAACTGTACTCTGCTTACTAGCTGTTACTAGTAATAGTAGAAAAGCAGGTCTGTCCTATTTCTGCCCCTTATTTATATTCTGACTAGTGGAACACACAAAGTCATAAAAAGGGATACAGCAAAAAAGAAACAAACTACAAGTTGCACATGAATTATCAGTCACCAAGTGACCTAGAAGTGACTGGGAAAATATAGAAGGTCAGAAGTTTGAGCCTGGGTAGAAACTATGCGCTACAGTTCTCCATTTGTATATCTGTCTCTTTCTTTCCATTTCAATACAATACCAAATGTCATTTTTATCTGAAGGATAAGTTTGCTGGCGCAGCCTCTGGTGAGCATCTGGGTGTCTTCTTTGCAAATAACAATCAGAGACTAGAAGAGCAGCTATTTAAGTAAGGAGAGTATTTAGTTACCAACACTGAGAAAAGTCTGATTGTATTTTTTCTATTATACTATCATGAGATTCCTCCTGTTTTTTTTCCCCCTAAGTCTTATGTGACAATATGTAAATTAATCGAAGCTTCAATTCCTTTGCTGTTGGTGGTGGTGGTGGTTTTGAGACAGGGTCTTACTATACAACTGAGGCTGGTCTCAAACTCATTAGCCTCCTGTCTCTACCTTGAGTACTGGGATTATAAACGTTAATTCCATGCCTCTTTGACTTTTTTGATATTTATTTTATTACATTATAAATGGCTTGATAAGGAATAATGTGTCTTCCCTTGTTTTCTGTTTGAGTTATCACCATTGTGAACACTCTGATCAACAGAGGCATAGCGCATTTCTATAAGAAAAAAGGGAACAATAATTTCTCATCTCTTTGTAAACACTCAAATTCTCTTTTTCCTATTTTAGCGTAATTACGTTAGGAGAACCACCTTAGTTACTTCCCTCTTCACGTCTTTACCCCAACAAACTATATTAAAATGCATTCACTGTAGAAACATGGCCTATAAAACAGCAGTAAATTCTTAGGATTGTTTCAAGTGCTCCAAAGAAGAAAATAAATACACGTCAACCAATCAGCAATACTTGTTTGACTCATTACAGTTGTTGACCAGGTTTCTATCACCCACTCACAATGGAAATGTCCTGGCCAAGGAGGGGCAGATGCTGTGGTTTGAGAATAAGGATAGAATGCCATTTCTCAGGGAGAGTTTTCCTTGTCACCCTTGCTAAACTCTGGCCATTTAAACATATCCAATGTAAGGACATTTTAACTATTGGAAAAGGCAATTAGAAACAAAGCATGTGAAACTAAAACCAGGGACCTGGAGGTAATTTAGAGTTTGTGGGATTTAGTTTAACAGCTCAAATATGTTTTCAATCTACCTAACTGGAGAAGTATAGGACATTCTCTTTTTAATTAGGAGGAACATACCCTGATATGAATTTCACATGATTGCTTCTTCATAAATTGCTATTTGGGGGATCTTCACAGCCTGGGTCACCATCAGCAGAGTCTCTGTTCCTTTTGGCTGGAGATCAGAAAGAGGGAAGAGTTAGTCAGGTATTCATTCTGCACATTCCTTCTCTGTAAGTCATCTTGACCTGGCTGGGTGTTTTCAGTTATTGTCACTCTCCTACAAGGCAGTGATTTGATATGACTCCCTTATTCCAGGTTTTGGGAACTATTCTCTGTCCTTGCCACCTCAGGTTAGGTTTGTTCCTGATGTGGCACTCCATCTTTCATAATTTGAATTTAATCCAACTACAAGGATCATTATCTTAGACCAGAGAATACATCTGAAACCAAGTTAGACTACTTGAGATAGAACTAAGAACAACTGAGAGACGGAAGTAACAAGCAAGGAGACCAGCTTGCCTATTAGACTCAATGATCAAAAGGTCAAAAACGGTGAAATGCTTTCTTGGTGTTGCCCTGAAAACTTATTCTCGGTGTTGTTAGTGCACACAAATCTGCTTCAAGTACCTACCTGCTGGGCAATTGAACAACTTTCCTGGATTCATGCTAACTGGAATGTGGAAATAAAATGTAGAAATAAACTAGATATCTAGTTTTGTTCAGATTCTTTCCAGGTCAAGTTCTGATTATTAATGAAGATTTTAATGCAGTATTTTAAGGAGACTGATGATCATAGCATCTTAACCTATCATTTAAAAATGATTAGGTAATACAAGTTTGTTTAATAAAAGTTAGGAAAATTAATTTTTTTAATTTGGTAAGGATTAAAATAAAATTGATCCATGAGGTTACAGCATTTTGGGAAAGCACTAACTATAGAATAAACCAAAGAATGAGACAGCAGAGCCCAGGGCAGGAGGGAAATATCCATGTGAGGGGAGAGGATGGGTGAACCCATCACTCCAAAGACAGCTTTGCAAAGCACTGTCTTGTTTCCTTCTAGCTATTTTCCAGTACAAGATGGTTGGACCATCCTTTTTTATTTTAAATAAATTTTAAAAAACCAATGTTTTGAAATTATTTTGTATAAAAAACCACCTGTGATTTTTCAGTTTCAAATCAATTTCCCTACTAGTGATTAAAATAGTGAGTACAACTGGAAATATTAACAATAAGGTATGGTGAATGTGCCTTCCTGTGCCTCTGAGCACTTGCTCTGGATACATTTTTGGAAGCAGAATAGTTAAATAAAAATGCAGGAGCATTTTAAAATATTTTGATGAATTGTGGAAATGACTCCTAGAAAATTTAGATCTGTGTATAGCCAGAGCAGCAGTGTTAGTTCTGTTTCTCTGCCTCTTTAATACAAAGGACATGGATCATCCCAGGGCAAAACCAGTCTCTATATTACCTCTTGACATTCTGAAGCAGCACATATAAGCTCCCATAAAGGCTATTTCCAGTAAAGCCACCAAAAAAATACATGTACGTATTTTCCAGGAATCTCTTCTTTGACTTAATGCTAAATAAAAGAAAGAGAGTCTGTGAACTAAAAGAAAATGTACTAAGTAAGACAAATGTAGATAGGTTAGTGGGGGTACAATATGTTTACTATTTTTTAAATTAGTTGCCTCTGCATCCCAGATGAGAGGCAGACTTCATATGGAAAACATTTCACGTAATGAAAAGGCTCTTTAAAGATAATACAAGAGACTAGACTGAACGGAAGAGTTTACTAGGAGTATCAATATCTCTGAGTCTCAGTGTGTCTGTTAAGAGAAACGTATAGATATTATAATATCAACCAATTAGGTCAGACTAATGGTGAAAATTAGGAGAGAAAAGAGTCTAAAAACTTGAGGAGCAAGGAATCTATTATAAACAGTTTAAGACTCCAAAACTAGCCTCAATCTAGAGTTCTCTTTGGACCATTAGGGAAGAGTACAGTCTTCAATGACCCAGGGAAGACAGTCTTAGAGGAACAGTAGTAAGATATCCAAGGTGATGAGAAGGGAAAGTTGACCTCTGCCTAATAGTGCTTAGAGGTCCTCAGAATAACTGAAGGAGTCCAAGCTTCTAGCATGCTAGTCTGAACTAGAATTATTATAATTAGGATAAAGGTTATACAGAATTGAAAAGGGAGAAATTTGAATAGCTTAGATACCAAAGTCTGACCCATCTAATCTGGTGATCCCTGTTCTACAAAATAATAGGATGTGTTAGAGCAAAAGGCTAATTTAGGGTAAAAACAATGTTCATGGGTTATTCTTTAAAATTAATATCTCTGTATGTTATACATAAATTGCTTTGAAGATACTATTACCACTGAATACCATAAATAGTGCTTTATAACAAAGAAAATTTAATCTCTCCACTTAGTGTTTGTTCTGAATTTCGTTCTACAAAATAATAGGATGTGTTAGAGCAAAAGGCTAATTTAGGGTAAAAACAATGTTCATGGGTTATTCTTTAAAATTAATATCTCTGTATGTTATACATAAATTGCTTTGAAGATACTATTACCACTGAATACCATAAATAGTGCTTTATAACAAAGAAAATTTAATCTCTCCACTTAGTGTTTGTTCTGAATTTCTGTCTCTTATGAAGAAGAAAAAAAAGGTTACACGGAAACAAGCTGACCTTCTAAAGCGCTTTCAAATGTACTTCCATTCTGAAAAAAATCCTGCAAGATATAACTATTTCACACTTGTGATCCTCCATCTCTGCATAAGTAGAGAGATAACCTGAATGTTACATATTAACCCAGTAGTATGCTTTACAAAAGATTACTTAATTCTATGTAGTTCGGTGTAACTTTTGTTGAGTAGATCTGGATTCTAGGGATCCCAACTGCCTTGGGTTCATATGCTGTGGCATCTCCTGGCAAGGCAGCAAGTGGAAAATTGCAATTAAGGAGAAGAAGCCAATCTCCTTGAAAGATTGTAGTACCGTAACCACTCTAGTCTCTGTCCTGTTGGGATGTTCCTGCCTCTTCTCATGGGATGCAGGAAGACCCTCCCAGTCTGCACAGGCCAGGATTTATGTGACAATGAGATGCTCTGAAAAGTCCTTTCTCTTCACTAGAGCTGAATGTCCCTGATTCTTCACTTTGTGTGAAATGAAAATTAAATCATTTCTTAAAGAGATAGGGCATATGTGATCTTCAGACAGATTTTTCTTGATTATTTTTCTGTGCTCCAAAATGAATCTAAGATGAGGCAACAGTTTTAAAAATAGAAGTGTGCCTAACTGCATTTTACATAAAACTAACACTTGTATTTGGGAGAAAAATAGGAACTTTAAATGCATCCCTAGCTTTCCATTCTATACCATCAAGGCAACGTTCTCACTCAGTGCAGAAGGTTCTGTCGAAGACCACATAACCCAAGGAGAAGTCTGTGCTCTTATCTCCAATATTACCACATAGGACCACCAAACTTTGAAATCTGTTATTCTTCCTAATTTTTACGACTGGGATAATTAAAAAATTCCTGAATCATAGGCTCCACTGTCTCAATATCCTTATTAAGCGAATAAAGGGAACTCCTAGGGTTTTCTCTTATGCTAAGCTCCAACCAGCTTCCCCCAAAAGCCAACTCCTTGGCACACATTGCATGACTGTCTGGTTAGTCAACTAGAACTATTACTTATAAATAATGAATTTTGCCAACTAACAGCAGTAAACAGTGAGGGGAACCAGGCATATGCTTAGTGCTTCAAATATCATGTGGTGACTGTTTCCATCATGTTAACAGACAGTGTCATGTTTCCCAGCACCCAGCAGTGTCCAATTCTAAATTCCTACTGCACTTAAAGCCTCAACTCCCAAACCAGGGCTCTAAAGTTCATATTACACATAACAACAAGCAGGAGTTGAAGATGCTTTACCTACCAATGTGTTTCCCTTCATTTCTGAAGCATGGGAACAGCAAAAAGGAAATCTGGGAGTTACTCTTTGTCAATACAAGACTTTTGTGTGGTCAAAAGATGGGGCATCGTCTATCACCATGACCAAAAGTATCGCGGTAGATTACATTTTGACAGATCTTCACAAACCTCTATAGCAACAGCCAAAACATATTAGCCAGTCCTACTTGCAACTTACCTACATGCAGCCTGTGAACAGTAAGTAAAGTATATTCACGTGAAGAAATATTACACAAGTATTCCCCACTGTCTGAAGGGTTAAGATCTGTCAAAACCATCGAGAAGTCACTCTGATCTATCAGCTCTTTATTCCAGGAGAATCGAGGGTCATTTATAGTTGTATCTTGCGAAGAGCTCAGATGGGAAGCCAAGATAGAGGATGACCCATTTTCTACTTTGGTCCAAGTAACATGTAAGCCTTGATTTGGTAGCAAAAAACTGCTGATGACTGGACAGGAGAGTAAAATGGCTTCATGTCGTGATTTCCAATGGCTACCTAACAACAGAACCAGAAAGCAAACATCCATGAAGACAAACTGTCAAATGAATTTTCTAAGTTACACTTAAGATTAGGAAGGAATGCAAACTATAGTACTTACATCTTTGGGAGAAGCATTTTGATATTTGTGCTGCAGAGTTTCACAAAGGAAAAGCTCTACTCTTTCTACTTCAGTTTCCCTCTAAGGTTAGATTAGGCCTTCAAGTAGTGCCGTGCTGGGGTCAGCTAGGGAGGTAAGGCGGCTGGACTTAAACTCTTCCAGCCTGATGACAGCACTCTGGAATGCTACTCTCTGTTCCAGTGTTCTGCTGACTCTTGAATGCAGCTGCTCTCCAGGGCTCTTGCCACTCCACCTATTGCTGAGTAGTCACTGTTAGCTTTATGATCTCAACTACACCTCTAGTTCCTTACTTTTATTGTTTATTTGCTTTGTTATTTATTTAGGTGTTACTGTAGATTGAACTCAGGATGTCATGCATGTTAAGCATGTACTCTATCACTAACCTCCTTAGCCTCTTATTAATGGTCATTTTGAGAGAGGGTCTTGCTAATTTTCCTAGCCTGATCTTGACCTTATGATCCTCCTCCCTCAGCCTCCTGAGCAGGTGAGATGACAGACAAGGGCCACCATACCACAGTCAACTGTGGCTTATCTTTCCACCTTAACCAGTTCTCTTTTCTAGCACATAAGCATTATAAATCCAACTGTGTGCAGGTAATCCCCAGTAGTCTGAGTTGCTTTAGGAGACTGTAGAATATTCTCAGTTTGCCCCTCCAATTGTAACTCCAATACTAGGGATCTGACAACCTTTTCTCACCTCTGTGGACATGCACACACATGTTGCATACACACGTACACATATATACACAAATAAGAATAAAAAGTATGTCATAAAAATTTAACATAATTAGCCGGGTGTGGTGGTGCACACCTTTAATCCCAGCACTGGGGAGGCAGAGGCAGGAGGATCTCTGTGAGTTCAAGGCCAGCCTGGTCTACATAGCAAGTTCTAGGACAGCTGAGGCTACAGGGAGACCCTGTCTCAAAAAAAAAATTAACGTAATTATGATAAAGCTATTGGGTATAGATTAATGGACTAGAACCTGAGATTGCCAAGCCTGATGGCCTGAGTTCAATCCCCAGGATCCACATGGTAGGAGGGAAGAAACGACTCCCACAAATTGTCCTCTGACTTCCACATGCTGACTGTGACATGCATGTGCCCCACTGTTCCCCAAATAAATAAATCAATGTAAAAAAATATTTTTTAAAAGATCAGTGTGTTAATACTATATAAAATAAGCAATAGTAACAGTTAAATTTTAATGAAATTTTGTTTAATTGGGGAGAATCACAAGTTGTGATCTGATAAAAACAAGCATTCCTTCCTTTTACCTCACACTTGAAAGTGCAAAGCAGGTGGAAAACCATGTTTGGAGGAGGAGCCATCGAGAAATACACTAACATTTGTAGACAGATTTTCTGCATTCCGTTTCATAAATGTTTTCATTCAATGTATAAACACCTAGTAAAGTAGGAATTACTTCTATTTTTATCAATGGGAACAATGCTCTGAACTAATGCAGCCAAAGTAGCATTACTGTAGGTGGATATTCCTTTTTGTTTGTTACTTTTTTTCCTGTAGCTCTATCCCCAGTAGCCCCCAGCCTCTGACACAGCACCACTACACACAGAGTCCTAAGGAGCTTACCTGCCAAAACCCATCGTCCTCTCCATGTCTGATGCAGAAGTGAATTTTCAATAGCACACTCATAAGATGAATTTGATTCTGTGATATTCAGTATGCTGTTAATACAAAAAAGGCCCCAAATCCCAGTTTCTTTTGAATTGCTTTCAGAGACAGAAGCGACAGAAGCATTTTCCATTTTCCATGTGATACGTGGACGAGGATAAACACTCGATATACTGCATACCAGGAAGCTCTCTGTGCCCCTGTTTTCATATTTCATCGTGGGTATTTGGAAAGCTACACAGGAGAAAGAATGGAATACGGAGAATGGTGACTATTAGCTTCTCTAGGCCATCTGTCCAGAATACTTCTTTTTTATAATTTTTTGAGAATTTCATACAAGACTACTGTATATGCATCATCTCCACCCCTCTCACTCTCCCCCTCCACTGCTTCAGTGTTCCCCCACTCCCTCTCAAATTCTTATCCTCTTCTTTGATTATTATTATTGTCACATATACATAGATACATTTATAAATATATATGTCTACAAAATGTATGGAGTCCATTTGGGGGTGCCTGCGTGTACACGTGTTTAGGACTTATGACTTGAGATTACATAACCTATCAGAGAGCTTGTCTCTGGAAAAGATTAATTATCCCTCCCTTGGTATCCATTGATTGCCAATAGTTCTTCATTTCGAGGTGGGACCCTGTATCATTTCCCCCATCTACAGTGACATGTAAACTGGTGTCATTATGCAGTGATAGAATATACGAATTGCAGAAGAGCCACAGCCTCATTAGGGAAAGCCATAAATCCCTTAAAGTGTCTAACTGGCCCTAAATTGGCAGCTTGGCCTTGCTCAAGCCTTATCAACTGGTCACTCCCTGGACTGAGAGAGACTGTGGAACCCACCTGTCTCCTTTAGGGCTATAGATAACTCACCCATCTGCCTGAGCAAATAATCTTGAGAAAAGAGACCCTCAAGGACGCCAGACCCTGGCATGGAGTTAACTCTTGCAGTTGTGTGCAGCAGAGTTCCTATATAAGACCAGACTGCTCCCCATTCAGAACGCAGATAGCCATTCCTCAAGGAAAAGAGCTATCAGCCCTTTGCTGGACTTCCTGAATCCAGGGAGCACTTTCCTTGCCTGTAGCAGGTCTGGCTCTGATTCTTATTTCTAAACTTTAAACTCATTCCTTTTCTGCCCTCCTAAATCTAACATGCAGTTCTTATTAGGCAACAATATTGTGGAGATTTTGTGGGTACAGCTTCCCTATTATGCCTAGAATGTATTATCTAGCAGTAGGTGTCCTATTCCTCTGGCTTGGCTCTTACAACCTTTCTTTCCCTTCTTCAGTGATGTTCCCTGAGTCTTAGGTGTACAAGTTGCATTGCAGCTGGATCAACTAGGGCTAGGCACCATGCATTTTGATCTGTTGTGGCTCTCCCCACATAGGTAATGAAATGCTAAGTTTTACTAGCAAAAACTCCCAGTTACTGAAAGGAAAAGTAAACCAAAAGAGAAACTCTGTAGAACCTTGAGACAGAGTGTTGTTTTCTAAGAAAAATAGAAAGAGCATACATGGGTATACAGCAAATAGCAACTTCTAATCTCTAGAAACTTATCTGACAAATTGAATGGCCTTGCTAAGAAGGAAAATGGGGACAAAGTCTGTAGATAAAAGTTCATGCAGCACTCTGAACTCTTCAGCTACTCATTCAGCCTACTTCAATTTTTTTTTTTTTTTTTTTTTTTTTTTTTTTTTTTGGTCTTTTTGGGACAGGGTCTCCTTGTATCCCCAGCTGGCCTGGAACTCACTATGTAGACCAGGCTGGGCTCGAACTCACAAAGATCTGCCTGCCTCTGCCTCCCAAGTGCTGGGATTAAAGGCATGCACCACCACGCCCGGCCTCTATTTCAATTTTTTAAAGCATGTAATTCTGAGTCAAGACATAAATCAGCTAACTTAGGTAGAGAAAGAAGGGGCAAGTACTAGTTAAAACAACCCACAATAAATATCCTCCCAAGCATGTAATACCATATAGTACTTTATTTTATATAATACCATAGATATATTACACACACACACACACACACACACACACACACAAACTTGCCAATACACCTCAGTGACTTCTCTTCCCACCTACCACAGTATCAGAAATATTACCATAGGAGAATTAATATGAAATTTTTGTTTCCTGATGCATATGAAAACTGTTTTTACATTATGATTATAGTCATTTAAGCACATAAGAGCTTTACATTTGATTTGTTTCATTTGAGACTGGGCATTTCCATGTGATGTAGGCTAGTGTCAAGCTCACAATTCTGCTTGGGATTCCTCAGGATCCCAAGTGCTAGAATCAGGGGTATTTGCCACTATGCCAAGCTCTGTCATAGTACTATTTCCAAAAAAAAATAATAATACTCAGCCATAAGACATCTATATCACAGACCTTCCCCACAAAGCTCAGGGAACGTTGTGGAAGAGGGGGCCTAAAGATTCTAAGAGCCAATCTAGACCTGTAAGTTCCCCAACCCCAGCATTCCCTGTCAGACATCCCAGCACAGCTTGTAGGCCTGCTCAGGCCACACAGCTCCTTGTACCCCTCAGACCTGTGAGTTCCCAGGCCCCAGTGTTCTCTTTCCACTGTCCCATTCCAACAGGCCTACCTTAGGTCATGCAGCCTTCACACCAGGCCAGCTGGGCCTGTTCTATAGAACCTCCCCTGCCCTCCCAGCCAATTCCCATACTCCTAGACATAGCTGGGATTGTGCAGCCTACATAGCATTGCAGAAAGACCCAGTCAAGTGTTATATTTTAGCTGGGCATGGTGGTGCATGCCTTTAGTTCCAGTATAGGGGAGGCAGAGGCAGGCGAGTCTCTGTGAGATTGAGGCCAGCCTGGTCTACATAGTAAGTTCCAGGCCAGGCAGGGATACAGGGAGATCCTGTCTCAAAACAAAACCAAAAATAAAATTGTTACATTTGCCCATTTTGTTTTGGGGTTTGTTTGTTTCTCAGTAAACTTGCTTTAATGGGTCTCAAAATTCTGTGACAGATTTTTGGTAGTTTCCATTAAAAAGCCTTGATTTTAAAAACTAATAACTTGAAATTGCCACAAAGGAAAAAAATGGTCCACAAAACATTCTCCTTACCTTCTGAACATTTTATGATGTATTTTTATGATTGACCAGCCTTTTCCTATTAAACTTAAATGGCCAGTTGAAATAAACAGTTCTGAGACCATTCTTCTACCACTGATGAAGACTGGGGTGGCAGGTATTAGGGATAATATTCACTTAGCCTTTTGAGCTTTCTGGGTAGTCTTGGTGACCTTGCCAGCTCTCATAGTCTTTTTGTCTATGGTTTTGATGACACCCACAGCAACTGCTTGCCTCATATCATGAACAACAAAATGACCCAAAGGAGGATAATCAGAGACATGCTCAACACACATGGGCTTGTCTGAAACCATATCAGCAATGGTTACATCACCAGATTTCAAGAATTTCAGGCTGTCTTCTAGCTTCTTACCAGAACAGTAATCTATCTTTTCTTTAAGCTCAGTGAACTTGAACTTGCAAGCTTTGTGAACTGTGTGACAATCCAGCACAGGGGCTTAGCCAGCACTAATTGGACCTGGATGGTTCAGGATAATCACCTGAGTGGTGAGGCCAGCTGTTTCCATTGGTGGGTCATCTTTTCAACAACATTACCATGTCGAACATATTTGACAGACACGTTCTATTACATTGAAGCCAATGTCCCCAGGAAGAGCTTCACTCAAAGTTCCATGGTACATTTCAACAGACTTGACTTCAGTTGTGACACTGACTGGAGCAAAGGTAACCACCATGCCGCATTTGAGAACACTGGTCTCCACTCTGCCCACAAGGACAGTACCAATACCACCAATTTTGTAGACTCCTGGAGGGGCCATCACAGAGGCTTGTCAGTTGGAAAATTTGGTGGTAGGATACAGTCCAAAGCTTCCAGCTGTGTGGTTCCACTGGCACTGCCATCCTTACGAGTGGCTTTCCATCCCTGGACCAAGGCATGTTAGCACTTGGCTCCAGCAGGTTGTCACCATTCCAGGAAGAAAGTGGCACAAATGCTACTGTGTCATGGTTGTAGCCAACTTTCTTACTGACTTCCTTAACAATTTCCTCATATCTCTCCTGACTATAGAACAGCTTTGTGGAATCCATTTGGTTGACACTAACAATTAGCTGTTTCACACCCAATGTGTAAGGCAAAAGGGCATGCTCACAGGTCTGCCCGTTCTTGGAGATACCAGCTTCAAATTTGCCAACACCAGCAGCAACAATCAGGACAGCACAGTAAGCCTGAGATGTGTCTGTAATCATGTTTTTGATAAAGTCTCTGTGTTCTGGGGCATCAATGATAGTCACATAATATTTTCTGGTCTTAAACTTCCACAGGGAGATATCAATAGTGACATCACACCCAGCTTTGAGTTTGTCCAAGACCCAGGCATACTCGAATGAGCTTTTACCCATTTCAGCAGCCTCCTTCTCCTTCCCAAATTTTCCAATGGCTCATTTGTTGATCGTACCACATCTGTAGATCAGATGACCAGTAGCGGTGAACTTGCTCAAATCTATGAGTCCAATGACTACAATGTGGATGTGAGTCTTTTCCTTTCCCATTTAGGCTTACAGTTAGTGATGGTTTTCACCCCATCTGCTTTCTGACAGCAAACCCATTTTCTTGATTAGCACCAAACTGTATTCATCCTCTTTCTTTCCAATCAAAAAATCAATACCAACCTGCCTACCAAACCTGTCACCTAGCAGCCCCTCAAGCTTCCCTTCCACTCTAGACAGTGTGGAATCTGTCCTTGAACCTCAGTCTCAGAAGTCGTATATATTCCTAGTTGAACTGAGACCACTTCTTACAAAAGCCTTTTCTGCCTCTAATGAGGTGGTCATATGATATTGTCTTTGAGTCTGTTTATATAGTGGATTACATTTATGGACATACACACACACACACACACACACACACACACACAGACCAAACAAAAATTAAAAATAGGATAGCCAAAACAATCCCAAACAATAGAAGCAGATCTGGAACCATCACCATCCCTGATTTCAAATTATAATACAGAGCTATAGTAATAAGAATAGTATGGTACTTGCAAAAACAACAATAGCAACAAAAAACACAAACACATTGATCAATGGAATAGAACTGAGGACCCCATATTTAAGTCCATGAAATTACAGCCACCTGATTTTTCACAAGCAGGCCAAAAAGACACATTGCAGAAAACACAGCACGTTCATCAAATGGTGCTGGTCAAACTGGATAGCTATATGTAGAAGAATGAAGCTAGAGCCATATCTCTCACCTTGCATAAAACTCAACTCTAAATGGATCAAGGACCTCAACATAAGACCCGATACCCTGAATATGATAGAAGAGAAAATAAGGAATACTCTAGAACTTCTAAGCAAAGGAAAGGACCCCACTAGCACAAGCATTAAGACCAACAACTGACAAATGAGACCTCATGAAACAAAATAGCTTCTGTACAGCAAAGGACACCATCATTTGAATGAAGTGGCAGCCTATAGAATGGAAAAAAAATCTTTATCAGCTATACATCCAACTGAGGGTTAGTATCTAGACTATATAAAAAGCTCAAAAAAAATTAAAAACAAAGAACCCAATTAAAAGTTGGAGCAATGAACTAAACAGAGAGTTCTCAAAAGATGAAATACAAATGGCTGAAAATTATTTTTTTATGCTTAACATCTTTACCCATCAGGAAATACAAATTAAAACTATTTTGGAAATTCATTTTACCTCAGTCTAAATGGCTAAGATCCAAAATACAATGTCAAATGCTGCCAAGAATGTGGGGAAAAGGGGGCACTTATTCACTGCTTATGGGAGTGAAAACTGGTGCAGCCATTATGGAAATCAGTGTGAAGATTCCTCAAAAAGCTAAAATATAGATCTACCACATGATCCAGATATATCACTCTTAGGTATATACCCAAAGGTCTCTGTATCCTATTCCAGAGGTACCTGTTCATTCATGTTCTCTGCTGCTCTATTCACAATAGCCAGGAAATGGAAACAACTGAGATATCCGTCAACTGATGAATGGATGATGAAAGCATGGTACATTTACGCAATGGAATATTGTTCAGCTATTAAGAAAAATGAAATTATAAAATTTTCAAGTAAATGGATGGAACTGGGAACAGTTATCCTGAGTAAAGTAACCCAGACCCAGAAAGACAAATTTGCATATTCTCACTCATAAGTGGATGCTAGCTTTGAATCTTTAGATAGGTGAGTTAGGTGTGTTTCAATTGAAAAATCCACAGAGGTTGGGAAACTAGTAAGGGGTTGTAGGGGAGGGAACTTCATCAGAAGGGAAGACAGAATTCAGTGACATAAAAGGGGAATAGAGAATAATGGAACAGAAGAGTTAAATTGGGAGGGGAACATGAGGTCAGGGAAGAGCAGGAAGCAAGGGGAAGGATAACTAACATGAAAGGCCTTTTGAAAAGGTCATATGGAAACCCACTGTTATAGAAATTTCTCTTAAAAATATATGTAATATAAAAAGAATTTAAATGGAGTTACCCTATAACAGGGGTTCTATGCCCCTACCAAATATTACAGGCTAGCAAATAACAGCTCAATGCCAGGAATAGACTCCCTCTTTTGGAGTTGTTAACTAGGGAGGTCCACAGATCCTCTAATAATCCTGGCTATTGCTACTGCTCTTGGTTACCCACCAGAACTTGGCAGTAAAACCCTATTGCTAAGGATACTACATATATGAGCCATGGAACAAGCAAGGAGAAATCAAGGCAGTATTGACGTGGAAGCTTCATCTCTACTGCCTAGCTTTAATAGTGCCATTTCTAGTACTAGCTATGCATGCTACCAAAAGAGAAAAGTATCATCAACATCACTGTAAACGCTTGAAACTTACAATAACACCAGTAAGATATGCCCTTTGGTGCAATAGTGGCATGAATGTTACTGGAGCAATAAACCACCCTCTGCTTGGATTTAAAGCCCATTTCACAGGACAGAGCCCATACCCAGTGCTGTTATCAGTGCCAAGAACCTATGTTTAGACAGATAAGGCTATAAGGGAGAACCTACTACTATTATTCTGCTAAATAGACATAGAAATACACTGACTCTTAATGATTTATTGTTATAGCCATAGATTAGTGCATCTCTCAACTCTTGGCAGAGAAGTTTCTTCTTACAGCAGATGGTGATTGACACAGAGACCTACAAATGGTCAACAAACAGCGAATAAGAGAGTGTGGAGTACTCAGCCCTAAATGGGACATCTATATCACACCCTCTTCTATGAAGACTCAGAGATCATTGTGGAAGAGGAAGCAGAAAGATTGAAAGAGCCAGGAAAACATGTTGTACAGACACCACAGGGAAGCTGCACATATGAACCCACAGCGCTTATGACAGTGTACGTAAGACCTGTGCAAGCCCAAGGCAGACAAAAACCAAGTATGGATGGGGAGGCTGGCAAGAAGTCCCAGCCCTAGCTGAGGATCTACTGGCAATTGATAGCCACAGGGAGAGGAAAAGTCATTTTTGTTTAACGGTTTGATGCCTCATAGGCTGACCAGACTCCAGTAAATGGACCCACACTGAAGAACATTTTGGGAACACAAATTATATTCAATAGTATGGATAGAGTTATGTAATAGTTACCACAGAGAGGATGAAGTAATATAAATAAACCGTAACTTTATTCTCATTACAAAAATTCAACTTAAGTTTAAAATTCAGTATTTTTAGTCAGTAATTTTAGACACCTTATTGGAAGAAGTGCTCAGGGTTGATAATATTCAGAGCTGATATATCTAAAAGGGAAATGAATGTTCTTATGCTGCTGTATCACTGGAACATTAAAATCTTATATTGCATTAAATGTAACTATAAAGGCATTCATCACAGCATTGTCTACAACGGAAAACACTAGAATGCCTAGACATCTACCAATAGGGGAATAGTTGTATCAGTCATAGCCTGCCTATACTATGACATAGTAGGCACCAATATAAAGTAAGATCCTATATCTAAGATGTTTTGGGATTACCTCAAATCACAACTTTACCAAAACTTACATGCACACTTACCTCCCACCTTAAGCACCACTTTGTTTGTGATGTATCCACTATTTGTTCCAACATAGCACACATAAATTCCTTCATCCAGAAGGTTCAATCTTTTGACAGATAGGGAAGCATTCCCATTGTGAATCTCACTATGAAAGAGAGATGTTCGGTGTACATATCTGGGATACTGTCTTTCCAAATGGTCCCTGTCCTCGTAGTAACTGTGAACAAAGTTATCTTGATTTTTCCAGTGAATTACGACATCAGGGCCACTCTTAAATGAGCAAGGGAGAATTACGTCTTCATCATATCTTCCAATAGCAAGTTTCTCATTCGTATTATTATTGGGACTTGTCAAGAATGAATAGACCATATCTAAAATCAGGAGCAGAGACAAAATGAAGAGGATTAGTGTCAGGTGCTTGTCAAAGCCTATATCAAAACTGCCTAGATGAACCTCCTAGCTGAGCAGCCTAATCATTAACACACCACATTATCAGGAAGCCCTGGCTGGCTAATCATTAGAAAAAAGACCTAAAGCTCTGTATTGGAGTACTTTCCATTTTAGCTGAATTTCTAATTGATTCAAAATAACTGTAATATTGGCAACAGTACAAAGCTCAGGCATGTTAGTTTGCAGCCCACTTGATCAACGGTTTGTCTCTTTTCCAATACTAGTCTGTTGTAGTACTAGAAATAGTGAATATGAAAGACTTATTGATTTAAATTCCCAGAACACATTCACTTTTAACACATACTATAACATTAATAGCTAGCAAGAGCCAGAAGGCTCTAAAAGAATGAGGAAAATAGTTAATTTGACTGGATCAAGAGGTACATGGCACATTTATAGGGCAATGCCAGGTTCAATATTCTGTTAGGAATCTGGATGTTAATTTCAGACAGATACAGGCAGAATGAGACCAAATGGAAAAAAGAAACAACTTATTTACTTTGACTTAAAGCCTGTATTTGTATTTTGTCTCAGTGTGAGGAATATCTGAAAAAAAAAAAAACTGGGGGAGGAAATGTTTATTTGAGCTTAAGGTTTGAGAGGGTTCAATTCATTCTTGAAAATGCTATTATTTCTGAGCCTGGATGAAGGCAGAGCATCATAACAATGGGAGCATTTGACAGAGGTTACTCACCTCATGAAAGAGGAAATAAGGAACAGGAAAGGAGATTGGGGCAAGGTTGAGCTCCCAAGGAGATCCACAGTGACCTACTTCTTTCAGTCAAGCCTCTGTTCAATACAGTCTGGAGAATCATCTATGATAGCCATAATTTGAGTTTTCAATAAATGACTTTATTAAGCATGTAGCAAGCAAAGCTAAAATAACAAATAGCAAAGAGCAGATAGGCAGAAGCAGAAGAAAGCAGGATATCATCAATCAGGTAATTACAGCATCCAGCAGAGAAGACTAGATGAATCTGATTCAGAGAGCAAAAGAAAGTAGCATCATAAAGCAGGGCATGCGATGTCCAGCAGAAATTGACTAGAGAAGAGTGATGCTGGAGTTCCCCATTGAGAGTCTGTCTATTGAGGCATTTCCAGCTTCCTGTTCCCACTGCAGGCATTTTATGCCATGGGATAAAAAAGAGTAACGTCTAGAGGAAATAGTTTACTTTCTAGTTGTTCCAAGGACACAAAGTTTTTAATATCCTTAATTGCTTGCTTGCCCCTTCCCCCATCATTCCCTATTAGCAAAGAGGCCAGCCTGACCCAGGGCAGGATTTTGGAAGGCACTACTGACATGAACACGCTTGAGTCTGAAAAAAGGGAGGGTCTCCTCACTCTCAGAGTCTGCTTTCAACAAGTTCAAACAGCCCTTGAAAATTTACCAATATACTATGTGTTATAGTCCTACCTCCTAAGTTTTCAGATCCACTCAAAACAGTACCAGTAACTGAAGGTCAAGCATTCAACACATGAACCTGTAAGGGATGTTTCCTATTCAAGCCATAATAAGATTACTCTCAAGATATCCTATGAGTTAGTCAAAATAGACATAAAGTGATCATTTAGGGAAAATCCCAGTGCTATTGCAACAGAAGAAATACGGGTTGAGGAGTACTTATCTAAAATCAGAACTGTTGCAATTTTTTTCAGATTCAGAATATT